CTGGGAAATACCCAAGAGAAAAAGAGACCACTTAAGATAATTGCATTAGATAGTATACTTAAAAACACTTCCATGTGTAAAACATTTTGAAATCTGTTTCACAACTTATAAAGTCTTTTATTATATCTCAAAAAGTGGGTCCTGAATAGTTTTATTTTTTAAGCATTAAAACTTTTTATTTTGATGGTAGTCTTCTTGAATTCTATTATATATAACTTTCTATCCTTAAAGTAGACTGTATTAATCTCTTTCTGATGCTTATAATGCAATACTGGGAACAAGGTGATTTATAAGGAAACAAAATTTATTGCTTAGAGTTTCAGAGGCTGGGAAGTCAAAAGTCTAGGGAACACATTTGGTGAGGGTCTTGGTGGTGGTAACAGTGACACAGGGGTCTCTCATGGCAGAAAATAGCAGAGCAGTTCTCACTGCTCTCCTTTTAAAGCCCTCAGACAGGTATTGTTTAATTCCTGTCATTTAATTGAGTTTTGTTTAGATGATTTAAATATCTTTTGATCATTCTCTTCTTCAATGTTAGTTGAAGATTTAACATGGCATTTAGCTGGCATTTTTGTTTTAATGCTGGGTTTTGCTCTTTCTTGTGTTTGTGATAGTGGTCATCATTATTCAGATTCCAGATGAAGGACTCCCTTGAGAATTTCTCGCAGGGCTGGTTGTGTGATGGTGAACTCCCACAACTTTTGTTTGTCTGGGAAATATACTATTTCTCCCTCATTTCTGAAGGAGAGCCTTGCTGGGTAAAGAATTCTTGGCTGGCAACTTTTTTCTTTAAGTATTTTGAATATATCATTCTACTTTCTTCTGGCCTGTAGGGTTTCAGTTGAAAAGTTTGCTGTTAGTCTGATGGGGGCTTCTCTATAGGTGACTTGATGCTTTTCTCTTGCTGCTTTTAGAATTCTCTTTTTGTCTTTGAGCTTTGAAAATTTAACTATAATGTGTCCTGGGGAGGATCTTTTTGGATTGAATCTGGGGACCTTTGAGCTTCTTGGATCTGAAGGTCTGTATCTGTCCCTATACCTGGGAAGTTTTCTGTTACTATTTCCTTGAACAGGTTTTCAATACCTTTTCTTTTCTCCTCCCCTTCTGGAATACCCACAATTCAGATGTTAGAGCACTTGAGGTTGTCTGCTATCTCTCTTAGATTTTCCTCATTATTTTTAATTCTTTTTTCCTTTTTTTTGTCTGCCTGGATTATTTTGTTTATTTTTTATTTATATATTTATTTTTCCTTTTTGTCTTTTTTCGTGACTGGTAACGGGATCGCAACCCTCGGTGTCGCGCCCGGTCTCCACATGGGATCCGAACCCTTGGCGGGAGCGCCGCCGCGCTCCCAAGCGCCGCACTCTACCGAGTGCGCCACCGGGCCGGCCCTGCCTGGATTATTTTGAAAAGACCATCTTTGAGATGTGAAATTCTTTCTTCTTCTTGCCCTACCCTACTGCTCAAGCTCTGTGTTGTGTTTTTTATTTCATTGAGTGAATCTTTCATTTCTAGGAGTTCTGCTACACTCTTTTTTAGGGTATTAATCTCTTTGTAAATTTCCTCCTTCATATTCTGGGTATTTTTTCTTGTTTCATTGTGTTCTCTAATTGAGTCTTCATGCCCATGACCAGCATTATTAATCCTTTCATGAGGCATGGTCCTCAGAATCTAATCACCTCTTCAAGGCCCCACCCTTCAGTTACCATAACAGGATTTCCCACCCTCTTAACAGTCACAGTGGGGATCAAGCTACTAACTAATACATAAAACTTGGGGAACACAAGCCATTTCATATACTAAGCATAATTAACCTTTTCCTGATTACTTAAGATAGTTCTTGTAGATATAATTGTTGAATTGTAACTCACAAATCTTTTTTTTTAACACATAATTTCTTGAATATAAAAAACTAGGCAAATTTATCCTATATGGACCCGAATTGCCACACACTTGGAATTCTTGATCTGTTTATTATAAACTACAGTGTCTCCCCCCTTATTGTCACCGGTCACTTCTTATATCCAGTATATTTAGAAACCAGATAAATGAGAATTTTATTTGAAATAAGAATAAATGGGTTAATGTGTGAACCAGGAGAGGTTCTGTTCATTTCAGAAGTTTTAGGCCATTTGTTTTGCCCATTTATAGAGAACTTTTGCTTATTGTCTGGTTCTTCACTGAATTCTATATTAATATCAAATAGTTGAAACTTTATACAGTACAGATTGACTCCATAGATACTGAAAGACCTGGAGTAGAGGAGGCATATGAGTGAGATGGTATTTTTCCATCTCTTTTTAGAGTATTAATACATTTTCTAGAGTATTATTAAAGACTTTTTCTAATATAGTTCCATCCAACCTTTCTAGCCCTGCTTCTACCAGTCCTACTCTCTCTTCTCCCCACTCTAATTAGGCTCCTCTACCCAGCACCCAGATTTTTACTCCAGTCAGCTATTCTGTTTCCCAGACATACTTTGTATTTTCCTTCTGCTCATAGTCCACCTTTCCTTTTCTACCTGGTGAAATCCTACTCATCCTTAAATATACAACTCTTAGGGCCCCAATATGCAACTCTTATGGCCCCATCCTTGGGCAGACTTATTCATTCCCTCCTATGTTTTCCAAAGCATTTCACACATAACATACTTCACACAATTTAGGAAGTTACTTCGCTTGTGTTCATTACTGGTCTACCAATAAGCTAAGTGTTTCTCAAGTCTTAATATGCATCGGAGTCACTTAGATATAAAAAATTAGGTCCCCCGGAAAGTTTGATTCAGTAGGTTTGGGGCTGAGCCTGGGAAAATGCACTTTTTAAAACAAGTACTTTAGTTAATTCTGATGCAGATTGTCCAAGGACTATACTTTCAGAAAACAAGGACCGTCTAGTTAATGGATTCCTTCAGGGCAAGGGCCCTGACTTGCCCACTTTTGTCCTTTCAGGGCCTATCATGTAGGTGATACTAAATGAATGTTTCTAAATTGAATAGAGTTTACTGGCGAAGGCCTTTCAGCATGTAATTTTTGAGTTGAGACTCAGGTTGTTGGCAGGACCTTAAGAGAGCTTTTAACAAAGGTGTAAAAAATAGCACATTTCTCAGGTTGTTTCCAAAATGCTCCTGCTAGGGTATGCACTGTGGAAAATCGATTCCTCTGGTGGTCAAATACTTTTGGAAAATGCTGCCTATTGTATCTGTGCCCTCTACCTTTCTCAAGATACACTAGTATATTCCACCTTCAGAGATATTCTGCAGTAAGAAAGCCCTCTTAATCTCGGATATGTAAAATGTTTGGGCCAAGCATTCCCCCTACCCTCTTTTCCTGGACATTGCTTTTTCGTATCCTGCAGCACTAATGTTCTGAGGTATTCCCTTTGGGAACTGCTCACGTAAGCAAGAGTAGAGCAGTGGGAATGAGCAGATGTGCATGACGGTGACCGGTACTCACCTAGGACTGGAGGTGCTGTGCTGGGAAAGAAGAAGAGAGATCAAGGAATTGGGGAATATTAAGGGAAAGGTGTTTTGCCATGGTAGGCTATAGGTTTTTATTTTGGTATGATTGTTCTAAATTGTTACAGCCAGTTATGAGTATTAAAATGACTTTGTAGTATAGACTATAGCAGACAGGTTTGAGAATGGTAGGCTTGGATTCAAGTAATAGCTATTGAAATGCAAAAGAAAGTACTGTGTGAAAGAGTAGATGAAGGATCTATGGGACCTGGTGCCCAGTTAAATCTGGGAACACAATTTAGACATTTAAATTCAAAGTTCTAGGTCACATGGGGGATAATTATAATTTGAGGTAAAGGGCATGCTGACAGTATTGATCTGGTCATCACATCTTGGGCATAAGTGGTAATGGTGAGCTTTGTACTTCACAAATATGAATAACCAATAAAATTTTTTTAAAAAGTTCTTAGGGGGACTTCATACTTTTTGGATATATGAGGGTACTTCTAAAAGTTCATGGAAAAATAAGATTAAAAGATAATATGAATCCCCACACTGGCCAGCCACCAAAACAAACAAACAAACAAACAAACAAAAAAAGATAATATGAATCTTTCTATGAACTTTTGAAGACCCCTCATATATTTAGACTAGTAAGGTGAAAAAAACACATTATTGACAATTGAAAAGATGTACAGCTGCAGGGAGTAGTTCTTAGAAGTAAGTTTTTAAAAATTAATTATTTTGTTTGTATTTTATATTTTCCTTTAACAGGATGAAGTTTATTATAATATGGTTTACCTTCCAGAAAGACTTCATATAGAATCATTAACTAAGTTAAATTCTTAGACAAACTGAAATCATGTCAAAAGTTTACCTGGAAAAATTAGATTCTCCTCTTTAAATAACTGAGGAACTGCAGGACAAGTGGTCAATTCTTAGTGATTCAATTTGTTTGGGAGGCTTATTTATCAGAAACTACTTAGTGCTAACAAAGCAAGACACATTTTTATATTATAACACATTTAATTTAGAAAATGGAGAAATTCTTTCACACTACATCATAATATGAGTATAAAGCAGGCAGATTAGGTCTTGAGGATCATAGAATATTTATATTTTTCATGTAAAATAGAACACCTAACTTTATCCCTCGTTTACACTAAACAGAATGCTTAAAATAATTATCAAGGAGACTTTATTACAATATTTTTTTTAAGTTTTAAAATAAGCTAATTTCATAAAATATTTTGCAGTGCTTCCTTGGTAATGTTCACATTCAGTGAGCAGAGAAGGTGCCTTAAGTTTGGAGAGTTAGCACTCTGCTACTGAATCTATTCTTGAAAAAATACGAGAGTACTTTAGAAAGTTCAGGGAGAAAATAGAGTTGAAAGGTAGTACAAATCTTTTCGTGAAGTTTTTGAAGTACTCTCATAATATAATTGGATGTCAGAAATGAATATCTGAAAGCTAGGCAAAAACCATTATTTCCAGATGCTTCAGATAGGGTCTTAATACTCTTCCTTTTTATTGTCTTTTCAGACAAATGACCACGGAAATAATTGAATCCCAGCAGGATGGAAGTATAACACATTCTATGGCAGAGAGTGAATCTGCTCATATGCAAACTCAGGCTGGTCAAAATTTAATCCCTACTTTAGCTCAGGTAGGCAATAGGCAGGCACTGATGAAAGTTAAAATATATGGAAATGAGAATTATGTGCACATTCTGTTTTTTTGCAGTTTATCTTAAATTTCGCATGTTCACTGGTTATCAGCCGTCCTTATTGATTTGATTCTGAAGAAAAGATACATATCGTAGTTACATTTGCATTGTAACAGACACTTGGCAGTGCCCCATGTCTACCACCACCACCAGTGTGCGAAGGAAAAACAAAAACCCCTCCATAATATGTAATCCTCAAATTATTATTTGAGAGGGTTGCTAATTCCAAATTCATACAGTTCTAATATTCTTAGATATAAAGATGGCAGAAATCTTACATTTATTCGGTATGTATTTGGCCTGATTCTTTTCAGTTTGGTCTTAAACTGAATTGGTTTCATTCACAGAGCACCAGTTTCAATTAGTGCCAATTTTTCAGCTCCTAAAATTTATTTACGAGGTATTTATAAAAATGTGTGGTAAATGTCAGTGGTTGCCAGGATTTCAGGGGATGAAGGAGGGAGGAGAGGAGAGAGGGATGAATAGGCAGAACACAGAAGATTTTTAGGGTAGCAAAACTATTCTGTGTGGTTAATAACATGAGATTATGTATTAGGCAAAACCCGTAGAACTGTACAATACAAAGAGGGAACTTTAATATAAAATTAAGTAAATAATAATATACTGATATGGATTCATAATTGTAACAAATGTACCACACTAATGTAATGAGTCAATAATAGAAACTGTATATGGGGATGGAAGGAAGATTTGGAAACTACCTGTACTTTCTGCTCAATTTCTCTATAAAACTAAAACTGCTATAAAAATAAAGAAAAAACAAAAAAAGTGTGGTAAAAACAAACATTTATTAATTAGTTTCTCAAATATTTATTGAATACCTATTTTGTCTAGGCATTATTCTAGATGCATGGGGATTTATAGTTCCCAACCTTAAATATCTCATGGTGGAGTGGGGTAGACAGGTATTTTAACAATAATTGCAATTATTTTCTCCAGGCTCATCAGTGTTGCTGCACATGGTAGAATGTCATTCTTTTTTATGGCTGAGTAGTATTCCATTATGTATATATACCACAATTTCCTTATCCAGTCATCCATCAATGGACATTTAGGTTGGTTCCATCATCTGGCTATTGTAAACAGAGCTGCAGTAAACATGGGAGTGCAGGTATCTCTTTGACTTGATGATTTCCAATCCTCTGGATATATCCCCAGGAGTGGGATTGCTAGATGATATGGAAGTTCTATCTGTAGTTGTTTGAGAAACCTCCATACTGTTCTCCGTAATGGCTGTACTAATTTACAGTCCCACCAACAGTGTAGAAGGGTTCCGCTTTCTCTGCATCCTCTTCAGCATTTGTTATTCTCTCAGAGTGGTTTTTATTTGCATTTTGCTGATGATTAATGATGCTGAGTATTTTTTCATATACCTGTTGGCCATTTGTATGTCTTGCTTTGAGAAATGTTGATTCAGCTCCTTTGCCCATTTTTTAATCGGCTTATTTGTTTTTTTGCTGTAAAGTTGTTTGAGCTCTTTGTGTATTCTGGATATTCATCCCTTGTTGGATGTGTAGTTTGCAAATATTTTCTCCCATTCTATAGGTTGTCTCTTCACTCTGTTGATTGTTTCCTTTGCTGTGCAGAAGCTTTTTAGTTTGATATAATCTCATTTGTTTATTTTTTCTTTTGTTTTCTGTGCTAAGTGAAACAACCCAGGTACAGAAAGAGAAATACCATGTGTTCTCATAACCGGAGCTGAACCATAAATAAATAAATAAACAATAAAGATAGAGAAAGAGAAAGAACATGTGTTCTCACTCATAACCGGAGCTGAACCATAAATAAATAAATAAACAATAAAGATAGAGAAAGAGAAAGAAACAACAATCACAGTAATACACTGAACTTTTAGAAAGAGAGAAAAGAACTGGTTACTAGAGGTGGAAAAGGGGAGGGGAGGGGGAGAGGGAGGGGGTCTTATGAGGAATTGGTTAACAGACACAAAGAATGATTGCGTATTGCAGTGATCAAAAAGCTAACTATTCTAATCTAATCATGACACATTGTACACAGTTATTGAAAATCAACGTTGTACCTCACATGTATGTGTAATAAATTATCTAAAAATAATAATAATAATAATTGCAAAGCATAAGAAGTGCAGCGTTAGGTACAAAATGAATAAGACATACAGAGGAGGAGCAACCAGTTGACCAGGAGTGCTTTACAGAGGATTTGTCATTTGAGCTAGTCGTAAAGGGTGAGTAAGAGTTTGCTGGGTAGATAAGGGTACGGAAGCATATTCTAGGCAGAGAGAAGTATGTGTACAGAGGCACAAACCTAGAGTAATGGGATATTCAGGGAACTACAGGCATCTAGTTTAACTGAAGCGTAGTGTCTGGGCTTGAAAGTTGAGCTGATAAAGGTAAGTAGATAATTGCATACATTTGAGAGTTTAGGGTATCCTATACTAGAAATAATATTGAAGTATTTTCAGATGCTCACTGTGTTTAGAACACTAGTAGCAATGTGGAGGTGGGATTGAAAGTCAGTGAGCTCGGTAGTGGGGCACCATTAGGGTGCCTGGTGGAGTCATGGTAGTGTGGGATGCAGAGGAGTAGTGAGATTTTAGTGATATACTGGAGGGGGAATAAAGAGGACCCCATGGGTGACTGGAAGGCCCAGAGAGAACACCAGGTACTTCCTGGATTATCTAAGGCCAGACTGATTCCTGTGAGATCTCTTCTTTTGCAGGAGTAGGGCCCATGCACCCAGCCTGCTTTTCTTTCTCCTTTCAGGCTGCCCACACCCACTCATTCCCTGGAGGTTTTCTATGAGTATTCTGTGGAGTTGCATGTCCCTAGCAACACCCTTCTTTGTTATCCTGGAAGACAGGTGGGCAGTTTTGCCTTAAAAAAAATAAAAGCACAACCTGTTTCTTGTTTAAAAAAAAATGCATGTTTATTGTGAAAAATTAACAAAATAAATATTATTAAAAAGAACATAAAAACTATACATAATCTTAACATCTAGAGATTTAATTGTTAACATTTTGATATACGTATGTTCTTTAGTCTTTTTATCTATGTGAGTATAATAGAATAGATGTCATACATATTTTTCATGAATTTGGGATCTTCCAGTGTTCTCATAACTATGATTCCTGATCTATATAATTCTGCCTTTCTTTGCTGAAGTTGTAGTTGAAAGCAAATCTTCCTTCTGCTTCCACTTCCCTCCCTTTAGGTACTAGTTCACTAACTTCTACACATACCTTTTTCCCCAGACTTCTGGGCTTGCACAGTCAGAACAATAGATCTCAATTGTCTAAAGATGGTAATCTGCAATTCTGAGGCCCTTCAGGCTGGGTGACACCCAGCTCTGTGAGCCTCAGAAGTTGCTAAGAGATCAACTAATAACGAAGTCTAAAAATTAGCCTTCATTATTTGAGGTTTTGGAATTGAATAGGATTTCAGTGGACAGAAACTAGGTTTTAGAAGGTTAGAGAATAAAAGGAGAAGAAGTGGAAATTGGAAGGATAGATTCTTCAGGAAATTTGTCTACGAGATAATAGAGAAAGGTGGGTTGTGAGACAAGAGAGTAAGAACTGGGGGGGAAGTTGGTGATGTTTTGAATAAAACAGAAGAGGTAGATAGAGACTTGTGAGAAGGCTGAATCAAGAAACTAGAAAAAACCTATGGTTTCCATTTATAATGCTTCTTTAAAAATCTCAAATATATCAGATGTTGATATTAAATATGGATAGCAAGTTGATGGTTTTTTGCTGTTTTTCTATTTCTTATGTGATTGAAGTATTTGTTCAGAAAATAAACTATGGTTTTTATCTTTTACGTGATAGAAATGTAAAGAGATTAAGAAATAACTAAGAATTATCCTCTATTCCATGCATAGATCATGATTTTTCAAAGAATTAGGACACAATTCTTAGAAGTCAAAATTTTATGAACACAATTACTAATTTAGGTTCTTGTGATGTCTGAAGCTATTCAATTTATGAGCATTTGTTATTATTATACAAGATTATGTATCTAGAAGGATTAGGAAATCAAGCTGAAATCTTTATTAACCCTATGATGTATGCCAAAAGTGATCGACTCTTTTGAACAATTCCTTTTGACATCATATTTACTTGCCACTTGTCTGATTTTTTTCAAACTTGAAGATTGTAAATTCCCAGATGTTTTAGACTTAAATTCAGTTTTTTGTAAAGAAGAATTTATAATACTTACTTTTTTTATTTACATGGTCAAATTATGATTAAACAGTATGGGAACAAAAGGTGTGACCACAAGATACAGAGGGTTTGATCCTTTGCATCTGATGGCGTTTGGTATTAGTACTTTTGACTGCCTTGGCCTTTCCGGAGCTTCTGCTAATCAAAGTGTACTGGGTGTGACCACAAGATACAGAGGGTTTGATCCTTTGCATCTGATGGCATTTGGTATTAGTACTTTTGACTGCCTTGGCCTTTCCGGAGCTTCTGCTAATCAAAGTGTACTCTGAAAATCATTCTGTTTACAAAGATCTGAAAACCACTGAGCTCGCTCTTGGCCCTCATTCCTCTGTTCTGTTGATGGATTGAGGTGAGGTAGTGGTGCACCAGGAGAGGCTACAATTTTAAGTTTTTCTATTTTGTAATTTCCCAGTGGTAAATACTGAGCTCGCTCTTGGCCCTCATTCCTCTGTTCTGTTGATGGATTGAGGTGAGGTGGTGGTGCACCAGGAGAGGCTACAATTTTAAGTTTTTCTATTTTGTAATTTCCCAGTGGTAAATGGAGCGTTTTCTTCTATCTGTGTTTAAAAGTAAAATCACAGTGGTGGTAATATCAAAGTTGGAAGCAGGAGTTGCCATTAACAAACCTTCAGGTGGCATATAATTGGGGGTTAAATATTGTGACATGGCTTTCTTCTTGCCTGAATTATTTTTTATGTTGGCTTATTTTTAATTGAAGCTGCTATGTGTATGTGTTGATATATAAGACTACATTCCACCCAACCCGGGAAAAACTCTTGGTGATAAATTGGAGAGTCTTATTTTAAATAACCAAGCCAGGAAGAAACCCTTTCCAGAAGCCAAAGTGATGAAAAGCAAAAATAATATATACAAGTAATTGTAAAATAGTTACATTTACATACTCTGGAAATAATATAATCTTTAATTGGATAATGGGAAATTTAGACTTCTTTTATTACAAAAGGTTTTAGACATATACAAGAGTAAAATAATGATACCACATATATATAAACTTAGTAATTATCAAGATTTTGTAGCACTTGCCTCATCTATCTTCTTTTTTTTTTTTTCTTTTTACTGAAATATTTTAAGCAGCTCTGCAGATATCAGATACCGTGTCATTTTACTCCTACTTATTTCTGGGTGTGCAGCTCTTAAAAAATTATGGACTTGTAAAAATATAACCAAATGTCTCTATCATTACTAATACAAGTATATTCCCTTGGTATAATATATAATCCATATTCACATTTCCTCATTTATCTAAAAAATACGTGATCTGTTCTGAAAGCAATAGTGATAACACCTTGAACTGTTCTTGTTCCAAGTCGCTCAGGAATTGATAACAGTGCCATGAAGATTTAGGTTGGTGAGGTAATCCAGACAGAGCCATTGGAAAGGACGTGTTTTAAAACTGACCTTCTGAAGCATAATTTCTTATAGTTGCAATGAAGACTTAGGCCCGAGCATGACACCTTGAGTCTGGAAGCTAAGTAGTTCTTCTGTGTAAATGACCAATTCTCAAGGTTTCATCAAAGACAGAAGGGAAAGATGAAAGGAGCAGAGTTACAGGAGTCATAGAGCTGGAAGGAGACTGGAGATTGTCAGGGTGGCATACTGCATTGAGAGAATTAGTTCTCACGTGGAATTTAACCTCTCTGAGGACCTGCGTATTTTTGGAAACAAGGAGATGCTAGGGAGGAAGAGAAATCCACTAGGGAATGTTGTTCAGAGGTTATACTCTGCTAATCTCCTTTCTTATCCTCTCCATTCTGAATGCACACAGTGTATAAAGAAGCACCTCAGAATAAAGTGGGCCTGGCATGTGGTGAGGGACTGAAGTAGGAATGATTTAACAAGGGATACTTGGAAATGTTGTATTTTAATGTATGAGTTGTAAATTTTCTTTTTCC